CACTAATAGCTTTTTAAAATCAGTCATAATACGGAAATAACTTGAGGGCCACTAATTCCAGGATATGAGGAAAAGGGGAAAATATCCACCAAAGATGACTCGAATAAATCCAGAGGATTAAAGTTTACATGGTTTCCTGATGAAGTGAGGATATAGCAAACTTAAGCATTCATATTGATCTTCCTTTGAAAAAAGTTCAGTCCTTCTGATGGATTCCCTGCTCTATTAGCTGTTCCTGAGACAGATGTCCTATAGCCTTAAGAGCAGGTTATAACCAATTGGCAGAAAGGTTGGTTGCCTTTCACTTCAGATGCAAGCAAGACTTTATAAACCAGTAAGATGGGAATCAGCAAACTAAAGGTATGTGGTGACTTTCTTTCCCAGTTTTAAAAAAGATGACAAACTAAATTAACATGCCCATTTTGAAAAGTGTATTCCAAGTTAACAGATGGCTAGCTAGTTCAATGTAGCAGCCCTCTAAAGGCAAAAATTAGTTACAAGGGTTAGGTACACTTACATTTTATGCTACTTTACTGATATTGATTAAAATGATTTTCAGGTCCATGATCTAATGCATGCATTACATTTCATGAACATTAAATAAAATGCCTACACAACTTTAAGTCTCTTCCAGTAATGTCACACTCCTTACCTAAAGCTGTAACTGATAAACAAGTGCATGGCGGAATAGTAGTCTGATGTAAATAACTTGCTGTCAAAAGAAGGTTGAGACTAATTGGAAACTTGCTGATAGCTGAGATTTTAATTTGCATGTAGTCATCAGTTCAATCAATATTTTAGCCATAGTTTAGTAATTCCAAGGAAGGGCCAACAGCCCAAATCTAGGCCTTCCTGTTGGATGATGTAAGTGGAGAACTGGTTCAATAGACTGTTGCTCAGTAGTGAGGCAGAACACAACTCTTTCCTCTCTTGGACGCTCAGCATGTACGTTTGGATGATAAAACTTGACAATTGCTTTAAAACAGTGGTGTCTAACACTAGCCATGAGCCACATGTGGCTATTTGGCTGGAGATGTGGCTAGTTTGCGATAGCAGTACCCCCCAATGGTGGCTACTGCTTCAGAACTGGTACCTTTAACACTTGATTAACTGATCCTGTGCAAGCATGATTTTACTTGTAACTTAATTGAGGAAAATCCAGGTTATTGGCAAAGCAATAGATTTTAACTGCCATTGTTAGATGCAAGTGTCAGCTTCTAGGTTGGAGAGAGGCTTTAAAATGCTGCTGTTAATCTTTAATTTTACATCCCTGAAACATGCACAAATTGTACTCATTTTAAGAATGTTTGCAATTTGGAAAGATGCTTATTCATTTCACTGACAAACTTATATTCCACTTATGTGTATAGCAATAGTACCTCTGAATAGACCAGGTAATATAAATGTTGCAGATGGATTCCTGTGACTTTTAAGGTAAAAAATAAAATACTTGTCTGAAACACTCTCTGCACCACAGAGAAGCAAATGGAACTTATGCTTCTGTAAACAGTCTTTTGTTCATTAGCTAGCAAGTAAGATCTGAGGAAAAGCAAGCTACATAGCTTGCTTTATGACATTAATTATGCAAATTATGCAGGCATGATCAGACTGTAGATATGATCTTTGTCTCTGTGGTAAGTTAAGCATAGCTTTGCAAACAAGTATTCCAGCTGTGTGAAGCTGACCTGACATTTCTTAGAATGTGAATACTGCCTCAGATGGATAAACATTTTAATCCTTTTTGGGCAGGGTGGCTTCATTTATAACATGGAGCTGTAGCTACAATTAGTAATTCATGTCTTACTTTATGAGAAGTTGATGTTTTTCTCCCACTGGAATTCAGTATATTACATCCAAAGCAACTGTCCTTTTCTGTGTTGAAAATATCTACACGAGCAGTAGTAATGGTATAGGAAGCTTTAATATTGGAGGGCTTTGAGTTAACCTATGTTACAAGAGGCCATGATTAAAAGTTTAAAATGTATGTGCAAACATAACATGTTACAGGTTAACTACCTCTTAAAATGGCACCTTCATATTCCTTTGTAACAGTCCAGGCTTAAGTTGCAGTAACACAAACATACCAATAGACCTGTGAGTAGAGCCTGCCCAAGGCTGGCTTGCATGATTAGCTAACCTATTAGACCCTGCATGTTGAGTATTAAAATGTTTTTCATTTGAGTAGAGTTTCACTGTACATAAAAGCTTAAATGTTAAACTATTTTGCATGGCTTTAATATTTCAACGGTTTAGAATCTACTAGGTCTATCAAGGTAGATTTCTATTGCATATCCTTGCAAAAGTGCCTTAGTGTTACAAGGGTACATAAATGTTTGAGTTTATGCACCCTCTGTTCCTTCCTACCCTGCCTCCCCCACCTTGTGTATAGTTCCACACTCCTTTTTTCAGTTTCTACCTTCTAGCCATCTTTTTGTAGACAGTTGCATTATGTATTTTTCACCTGTCAGTGCTGCAGTTTAGTGGCCAGAGGAATACTAATAAACAATTACTTTTCCTGTCTCCTTTTTATCACAGAGCTGAATACTCTTGAGTATTTGAGCCAAGACTTAGAGGTCTTTGAATAAGACTCACAGTTAAGTAACTTCAAGAGGGAATTATAGGCCTTAATGGTAGGCAGTAATTTAAAAATCTGTTGCTTTTTAAATATTGATTTTTATAGGGAATTTCCTAGATGCTTTGATATGCCTCAACTTGCTAAAGGTTCTTTTCAGAAGTGGCACATTCTCTCATGTAGCCTGACCTAGTTTGTAAATAACCTGCTTACAGTGCAGTTTCACAGCAAAAAGTTACTATGTGTGGTTCCACACTTAACCTCCATGATTACATATCAGTTTGGCTGCTTTAACAAGTAGAAAAAAGCATCTTTAACTCCCAGTACCATATACCTCTGGGATGTTAAAAAAAAAAAGCTGTGTTTTGGGTAATGTATCACCACTAGCAATTTTAAAAGTTAAATGGTAGTTTTAAAACTGCCCTCATCTTCAGTGAAACTATGCAGGTGTAACTTGACCCATAATTTAGAGACAGAACCTGCAAGGGGGTACTGCTCAGGGAACTTAAAGCTACTCTGCTGATCTGCAAGCTGGAAAGAAGCAAGTTTGCTCCTAGAGCTGATTGTTTCCCTGACATGGTTAGTAAACATTTGCTGCTGTATTAAGCAGATAGTGCTGAACATAGAACTGAGGTATTATTTTTTTTACACCTTGAGTATGTATGTATTTAAAATCTGAGGTCATCTTAGTTTTATTGCATAACAAGCTGTTCTGCACAAGGTGATACTGCTTCTATTTTTGCACATCTTTGTTGAATTTACTGCTGAATACTCATAAATAAAGTGGCACACTGGCTTTTTTTCAAAGCAGTTTCATATGTACCTTGATTGATTTTGCATATATGGCAAAAGCTGCCATTTGACTGAACTTTAAAGATGTTTTTAATGTGTGGAATATGTATAGACTGTAGATAAATATTTTGATTAAAAAGGAATGTTTATTTACATCATTTCTTGGGGTAATACAAGTTATTTTTACATGTGTTCTACATTTACATTCCAATGTGGCATAAAGTGAACATTGGGAAGCAGGATGTTAATTCAGTGGCTTTCAAAGGCTGGAAAAGCAAGTCAAACTTAGACAGTAAATGTTGTATTAAAAGTTAGCAGTAATGGTGCTTAATTTCCTCTACATAGGAATTGTAGGGTATAATTAACATCAGTTGCTTTGACACTGCACTTTAATGTATAATTTCACAATTTCTTTTGGCTGCAGTTGGAGAATATGCTGTGGCAAAGTACGTGTTGTTGCTGTAAAGTAGGTCAAGAGTAAAATGGCTGACTTACCATACATGGACAGACCTGAAATACTCTGGTCTAACACATTAATTCTTTCAGTACAGTGACATGTTCATAGTAGAAGAAACATAAACCTGTGAGACTGTAAAGTACAACCTTCTGTACCTTTTGCTATTTCCTTCTGTTGTCACATTTGCTAATTACTGAAGATGTGTTTGAACAAGAACATTGCTGCCTCCCAGCTTTTGTTCTACTGAAGCCTGTGTACAAGTCATATTGCTGCATTTGTGACATCAGTCTTGTCATGGTAATCCTGTCATAATCCTATATGTGACTTCACAGCAGAAGAGGCTAAATGGGGCCAGAGGTAGCATTCAAATTCAATAACAGGGAGAGTAATTACCACTTTTTTATGGACGCTTTTTAATTTACTTCAGACAGAACTCCCTCATGACACCCTTGAGAAAGGGAAATCGAAATTGCAGTGTTGGGACTAAGTCCTAGGTTGGGGAAACTTCAGGATATGGATATATATTTATTTTATTTTAAAGCCAAGTTATGATAGTTCCATCATGAAGTTCTAGCAATCAGCCACTTGATTCCTAATTATGGCTTATCACAATTACACTTTAATTGATGTGGTGGTTGTATTTGAAATTTCCTCTTCTTGGATATTAGAGTTTGGCCTTGCAGTCCTGAAAAATGCTAGAATCTAGGGCACATTTGTTTTGTTAGTAACTGTATTTGCTTACTAAAAGCAAAGATTTCAAACCACTGGACATTTACATTTGGAAAGGGAAATAATCTTTAATGTTCTTGGAGCAGTCTTACATACACACACAAGGAGTGGTAGCATAACCCAAAATGGCAGGCAACTGGGGTGGCTGGCAGGGACTGCTTTTGCCACTGGATTCCAAGACTGCAGCAAGGAGCAGTGGCTTAGGGTGTAGGGATAAGATAAGATGAATTCTCCTTAGGTTACTTAAAAATAGGCATCTAGTG